CTCCTATCTAACTTCTTCCATGACTGAGGTTATTTCACACTTTAATGACCAGAGCAAAATTTGCTATTTTGCAGCGAGTGTGAAGATTTAATCACAAGTAACTTTTTAACTGCTCTGTCTATTAAAAGAAAAAATAGGTTACATGCACTCCATTTACATAAATGGACAATAAAATACATTTATTTATGAATTATTTACATTCATACGCCGACTATTGTCACTGCACATATGTAAGACCATTACAATTTTACTACTGTTACCTTTGCGTGAATTTTTTCCTTTGAGTTATTTGTACAAATTCAGTCTAGAACAAATTAAAGACTTCTACCATGTTCTTCTACCTTCTACCAGAAAATGATCCTGCCTTGCACATGTATGTTTTATTCCTTGTTACTGTGGCTGAGAAGGCCCAAAAGTGATGATGTACATTTTGGTTTAATGACAATTTTTTAATTGCTGGTGTTCTGACTTCACAATGTATTTCAAGAGACCCGAAAGAACCAGAGTACTAAAAACACACCAAAAATGATTGCCTCTAGAAAAGTAGACCACCTAACATATTTATTAGGAAGTAGAACAAAAGATCAGCCTTCTGACCATTATGGTGTGTTGGCTTGTTTAACCCCTTCGTGACGGGAGACTTACACTGTACGTCCCGCCACGAAGTGCTTAAATGACTGGCCACATACACTGTACGTGACCAGTTATTTGCGGCTCTGTAATGCTGGTAACCACTGATTCTCAGCGGTTACCATTCATGAATGAATGCCTCAGTATTGAGGCATTCATTAATCAAATAGTTAAGTTTTTGTAAAAGCTTCTTTCTTTCATTAATGAAAGAATTAAACCGTTACATACAAATACCGGATCGCTAAATAGCGATCCGGTATTTGACAGCTGAAGATAGCAGAGAGGAAGCAGAGTGAGTCACCTCTCTGCTATTCCTTTTGACAGCTCCATAGACTGGCCCAATGTCTAAGGGCACAATGTACCCTTGTGCATTTCGGTCTCTCAGGAAGTCGTCCAAAAGCCTCTTGAATGATTCCAGATTAATTGCGGAAATTACCGCTTGAGGCAGTGAGTTCCAGACCCTAACCGCGCGAACTGAGAAGAACCCCCTTCGCCCCTTGTGTTCGAATTTTTTTTCTACCAGTTTTAGGTGGTGTCCTCTAGTCTTTGTTACGGAATTAATCTCAAAGAGTTTGTTGCTAATGTTGCTATGACTATGGAACATTTTGTACATGAAAATCATGTCCCCCCTTAATCTCCTTACTTCCAACGTAAACATGTTTAAATTTAGTAGCCGTGTCTCATAGCTCTGGTCCTCCATCCCGTTTATGAGTTTGGTCACCCTCCGCTGGACTTTCTCCAGTTCAAGGACATCCTTTTTGTGGACCAGTGCCCAAAACTGCACCGCATACTCCAGGTGCATGTTCATATAATTTATATAGCCCTATCTGTCCGATAAAAAACAATGTATAATATGTGTGGGTACATTTAGTAAGAAAGTATATTACTGCTGTGGAAGAATCACACAGCAAAAATGTAAAAAGTGTGCCAGTCATTTATGAATAGAAACTGAAAACAAGCTCAGTCATGAAGGGGTTAATCAGCATAGATCATACCCTCTGGCTCTTTGTAATTCAAATAGCCAGGATTAATGGCAGTATGGCATTCATCAAAATGTAAGTATAGCCCAAACTTCTTTGAGCTTTTGAAAAATGGTGAAAACCCCTATGAGATTTCTCTTCACTTCACGGCATAGAGATGAAAAGGGAAATCTCTACAAGTGTGAGGGTAATTCAATGACATCTTTGACAGATATCTCCAGAACATTTGTCCCCATTGGATTATTTCCCCTCACATTTTACGCTCACAACAACTCTAAAATTTAGGATTTCCCCTTAACCACTTCAAGACTGGGGTGTTTCGACCCCCTTCCTGGCCAGGCCATTTTTCAGTATTCAGCGCTGCGGTACTTTGACTGACGTTTATTCCGTCATGCAACGCTGTACTGAAATGAATTTTATACCATTTTTTGGGGACAGATAGAGCTTTATTTTGGTGGTATTTAATCACCACTGGGGTTTTTATTTTTTATTATAATTAGGAAAAATTACAGAAAATTTTGAAAAAAAAAATTTTTTTTTACATTATGTTAGGAAACATTTATTATTAACCAGTTTTTTGGTAAAATATAAAAGATCGGGTCACGTCGGGTAAATAGACACCAAACATGTCAAGCTTTAAAATTGCGCGCACCCGCGAAATCGCAGAAAACTACCATACCCAAAATTGGCCATAGGCGACGCTTTAAAAGCTTTTACCGCTCATCAGTTTAGTGTTATCAGTGATTGATGGCCCTAGACTTATTGCTCTCACTCCGACGTTCGCGGCGATATGTAACATGTGCGGCGTAACGGGCGCAATCGTCTTTTTTGCACGTATGCGCCCCCGACGCATGTTTGCATGCGTGTATGTATGGGTGGGGACTTTAAAAAAAATTTTTTTTTTTAATTCTTAATTATGTGTAACTTTTAATTTTGGGGGGGAGACTTACATTTTTTTTCCACTAAACTTTATTGCCATCACATACGGGGGCTAATTAAACTCCCCTATGTGAAAACAAAATATGTGAAAGGTCCTCTTTATGGAGACATCAGGGGTCTCCAAGACCCCTAATGTCACCTAGGACCCCCCTGAAGAAGCTGATGAAGCACAGATCTGCTCCATCAGCTTCTTTCCAGCTTCTGAAGCTGGAGAGTGACACAAGAATGCGGAAGTGATGTATTATACAACACTTCCGCATTCTTGCAGAGGAGAGGGGACCGGAGGGAGCTCGTTTAACGATCTCCCTCTGATCCCCTGTGACACAGGCGACATGCTAATCCCGGGCTCGCACCGGGCACAGCGGAGCCCGGGATCAGCGGGGGGGACTGCGGAGGGAGGGGACTGATCGGCACACCATACACGCGATCCGCCGACACTACAGCCGGCGGATCGCTTGTATGGTAACAGGCATCGCTGCCTGTTTTTAAATACCGGCCATTTCCAGCTCGCGCGCGAGGGGGCGCGTCTGAGCGGACGTTTTTTTACAACGGCCGGCCCTGAGGTGGTTAAATTCTGTCCCGCTGAAAATTTACATAGTTACATAGTTAATCAGGTTGAAAAAAGATACAAGTCCATCGAGTTCAACCTATAGTAAATGGGACACAAGCAGCAATAAAAACTTAACAGTGGTTGTAACTCTTTTCTACTAAAATGTTTTGTCTTTACGTACCCTTTAAATAACCATGCACATACATTGGAGATACAAATAAATATATCACTGTTTGTGGCAGCTGTTTTCTATGATTCCACCATTTCATCATAGATAGAAATTTGGAAAGTGTGAAAAAAAGAAACCCATTTTATGGATTACTCCCTCTAGATATGAAGATCTCTTAATGTCAGTCTGTTCCCATGTAAGCAATTGGCCTCTTCTAAAATACATAAAACAACTGTAACAAAGAAGAATAATGTTGGTTATTGTCTGCTAGAGTCCTCTTGTTCATCTGACATAAATTATTCTAAACATCAAGACACTGGACAAGCCTGCCTTTGACTCATGCCTTTGGTGCCAGTGCAAAAGTGGATAATTATTGAGACACCCTTGTTTTAATAACATTACATTTGTGCCAGTAGTTCAATGTGTGGGAAATCTCTTCAAATCAAATATTGTCAGGACATGCCACAAGACTAGTCCTCGAGCCTCTTTATGCAAAGAATTTTTGGAACTTTACATACAACAATGAGTATAATTAGCTTTCTTGTTCGGTAGAAACAAAATGTAATCTGAAAAATGTTTAACGCCCAAGTAGAAGCACAGTAGTGTAACAAAGTTCCTCTTTATCACTAAAAATCAGATGATGCAGAGATGATTTTTAGATTACGTGTATGAATTATGCTTGAACTATTTTGTTTCTTTATGTAATAATTTTTATGCCAAGCTCTTCTGTAATGTGACATTGCTTCAAATCCATGATAAACTCTCAGCTGTTTGTTCAGAGAGTAAATTCGCTAAGTGGCAGCATGGAGAGTGAACTCCAACTCACTAGTGCTGCAAACATCAGTAACCTCAGCAATGTTACAGATGCAACCACACAAAGTTCCATCCTATAGCTGACAGCTATAAGTAGAATTTCTACATTTTGTACACATTCATTAAAACTAATTATAACATATACATCAAGCATTTTTCTATAAATCCCCTATAATATTTAATTTGAGACACCTACCTGTATTATTTAGTGCTCTATGTCATCGGCAAGAAGATGTAGAGGGACCAACTATAACAAGGATATAGCATCACTTATGTGTATTCTGCAGTATATATCTTATTTTTAAATTAAAGTTTATTTAAAGATGCCATCAGTCAGAGCTGCATTTATTACATTCTACTATCAAAGCCTATAGTAATAGCAGTAACAACCCAAGTGCCTCGGGGATCAGCAGCATATGGATGCAGAACTGTTTGGCCCATAATTTATCCAGGCAGCCATAGCAACTATAGACAATGTTTGGTCTGAACATGCCACTACTGCTAAGGTGTTAGGTATTGCTCTAGAATGTCACTGATGTCAGTAGGGAGATTGCCTTTATCATGGAGATGGGAGAACCAGTAGGCTATATCATTATTTTGCTATGGGATCCTAAATATCAGAAACAAAAATGTCTCCATTGCCTGCAGCATTTGGTTACATAAGCCATCTTTTTTTTATCTAAAAACCAAATGAAAACAAATCTTTGCATATACGTTTGTTTGGTTCTGTAGATATATAATTCTTTCATTAAATTTTCGAAGGGATTCAGGCACACGGTCAGGTTACAAACTTCTGCGGGTTGTAGTAATGACACTTATGAAATAAATTACCTGTATCCAAGCAACTGATCTCATAGCAACTTGAAGCACCTATTTCACAATCAGTTCTGGTCAGAAATGTTTTTTTCCCCATTCTCGGTCCTTGTATTAAAGAGGTAGGGACTTCAGGGGTTCCTCAGAGGATGCAGATGTGCACAGAAGACACAGGTATGAGTTTGATTCTTGCTATTTGTAACTGGAAATGAAAACAAAGGTGTGCACATTATTATTAATGAAATGAATGTGAAATTATGAGATTAGGACATTTAAACCAAGTTATCCAATTTTAGCTAATTAAGACCAGCATTTGCCAAGATATTTGCTTCATGAATTTTGTTTTCAACATGGTTATATTGTATTCTTTAAGTGTTGCTTGAACAATTGTAGAATTACTGGAACAGCTGACATGAAATGCACAAAACTAAGGTTGTAGCTTTTCACAGATATTTAGTTTGTACAGATGCACCAGGGAGATTGGTTTTCATAAGATACTGCCGACACTTCTTCAAGAACAGACAGCAAAGGGCAACTGAGAACTTTATACTGTGCCTAAATGAGAACAAAATACAAATACAAAAATAGTTACACTGTAATGTTGTTAACCATTTCCACATTACAAAAAAAAAAAAAGAATGGGATAGGTAGATGGCTAATGATTCATATTATAATTGCATTATTCCCATAGCTACAGCATGTAATGAAAGTCATTAGATATTATGTGTTATTTTATTATATAACTTTATAAAAAATATCTAGTATTTTAAAGCAAAATAAACCAGGGTGGGATTTATCTTTAATTTCCGGATTGCTATAGTTTTGTCTTCCAGGTTCCTGCTTTTAATAGAGTTAACCAGGCACTAGTCAGCTTATTATTTTATCAATCGGATTATTGGTCATAGTTTCATAGAGTTATTTCCAAGTATTCAACATGAGAAGAATTGCTAAGCTAAAATAATGTTATTAAAATTGCTTTTTATTCAATTTTTTTAAATGTATTTTATTGAACATATTTTCCTTTGCTTTATAGAATATGCTAATTAGAGGGCTTGTGAAAATGTAACAGTGCCACTATGATGGAGGGAGTGACTAGGGAGTGTACCAAAGACTTGCAGCAAACTAGCATTTTTTTTCTATTTTATTCAGTGTTTTGTAAATAGATAGATCCAGGTGCAGGAGTGGCTTTAGGCCCCCAGAATTTCACTGTGGGACACTAACTGAATAAAACCTGTAAAGCAGCCAGTGTGAAAGGCAAACACACTTGGCGTTTATTACTTTTGGCCAGGGGTAATGTTTACAGTCTGGGTATCAATACACTGTAACGTCAGTATTGCAGATGATTTTAAAATCGGTAACCCTCAATTGTAACCCCCTTCCCAAAATGATGCATTTGCATTGGCTGTATTATACCAATCTGTACTGTAGTACTGCCAATATAGAATGACCATGACTTTGCAGCTTCTGACACAATACTGACTTATCTTTCTGTCACTTAGAGCAGGCTTAGGCTTCTTCTCCATGCTAGCTAGAAAAAAAGTAGTTGGAAATGACAGAAGAGTGATCTGAGATACTAATAGAACAAACACGTAATAATGAAAAGTGCAGCTGTACCAGCATTGTTTATTTGTATAGCAATCTACTGGCACTCATTGTTCTCTCAGTAATAACGCTTTGATCTGATTTACCAAAGGCTTCATCCTTAAAGTCATAGTCATGCCAAAACATTTTTGTTACTCTTAAATGGGCAAGGATTAGATACAACCTTTCTCATATTTTCATGGTCATTCCTGTCAGCATCAAGGAGATTTCTCCTAAATTTCTGTCCTGGTGCAAATAAGAACATTTCCTCAACAGAGACACATATCTAGTACATAAATTGGATTTGACTCTATAGAGAATGGGGATATTTATACAGACCACTAGTGTAACAGGGGGATTTAAATTGTATGCTTCAGATTTACTCATGACCTCTCCTCTCTGTGAGTTGTGCTGATTGTTACATACATTTGGACACTGAATTTTATACACAATGCTGAATGTTCCATAGCCTTAAATGCTGCACTTTGTAAACTGTGCAGTATGTTACATACTTTGGACCACTCAACTCTGTAAGATGTGCTGTAGGTTACATAATCCTGAATCCTGTACTCTGTGCTATACCTTGCATACTCTGGGCCACTGCACCCTGTAAAGTATGCTTTACAATACATAGTCCTGACTGCTTCTCTCTGTAAGTTGTGCAGTACATTACATACTCTGGACCAATCCACTTTGTAAACTGTGCTGTCCTGAGCTGTATAAGCTTTGTTGTAATGTATGTTACATACTCCTGACTGCTGCATGTGGAAGCATTGCTTTACATTACTTAGCTGGTTGCTGAACAGTCTCTGGCTATTTAGTAATGTTTTCCTTATTAAAAGATAGGTACAAAGTGTTAATTCTATGTCTATCATCTGTGTGCAAAAAGCACATGTAATAGAAGAGTTTCAGGATTTCAAAATTATGTTTTGTCTTGAGTTTTATGTGTGTCTTTGAGACATTTGCTTGTGGTATAGTAATTAGGGCATATTTTGTGGGTGTAAAGACTGTGGCCTATCTCTGAATTCATGCTGACACTGTCCTTCCTTCTGTAGGGTGGCTACTTTTGTTCCCCATGGTCCCTGTGTATGTTCTAAAGTAGTGACCGCTCCAATCTCACTCCAGTGATGGACTACAATCTCATGTTTAATTTACTAATTTGTATTGAGATTGTAGTCCATCACCGGAGTGAGCTTGGAGCAGTGACTACTTTACAACACATACATGGACCATGGGGAACAATAGTAGCCACCCTCCAGAAGGAAGGACAGTGTCAGCACCAATTCAGAGAGGATTTGAGTATCTATCGCCGAGTGATACGCAAATAAGATACATCTGTATTAATAGGGTACTTGAATGCATTTTTTATATTTAACCCCTGAGCTTAGTGTCACTTTAATAGCACTATATGCATAAACACTCTTTTGATATATATTCCTTTTCTTTAGAAATGAAGTATCCACTTGATTAGGTTAATTCTGTTAGCTACCCCGCATGGTTTAGAGCCAAAACTGCCGGTCTTTGACCCAACAATCTTTCCAAAATTAAATATAAAGTGACCACAATGATGATGTTACACTCAATTACACTCAATATTGTATTATATCTCTGCTTTCTGCAGCTACACTTAATGAGTTTCTGGGTATAAAAAATATATATTGCTTTAGCTAAAGAATGGGATCTGTGCATGTTAGAATTAATATAGGGTACTGTCGTGCACAATTCTTCATAGTTGGTAAAATTCACATGTATTGTTATAACTTATAATCAAGTATGCATTTGTACACAGCTCTGAGTAAAGGCAGATAAAAACATGATTTAAAATAAATGTACCAGTCAATAAATGTATTTGGTCAAAAAACGTTTGCATGAATCATCAATCACTTTCTGCCCACATCAAGTATTACATAAAAATATAGCGATATATCTAATGCAGTATATCCTAAAAGTAAATGTCAAGCTACTACAGCTGCTTTGTCAAGGGCATTCCCTCTGAACAGCATCCACTTGCTCTATCAAAGTGAAATGAGCAGCACAAAGTTGATGAATTACTGTTATCTTTCTGTTTTGACTAATTGTGCATTCTATCTAACTGATTCCCAAAACATGAAAAAGGGTAAATGCCAACAAAGTGGCCCTTGATGTCGCGTTTTCATGTCTAATGTCACCTGCAGTTTTTAAAGGTCCGGGCAAAAAGAATACATTCTTCTCTGCACTCACACCTAGAAGAGGAGACAGCTCAGGAGAGACTTGATTCTAGAAGCTTTGAACACTATGCAGTACAACATCACAGAAGTTATGCCCAGCCTGGCTCCAGCTACAGCTGCTTCTGTGGTGGCCTTCATATTTCTGCTCATTGTCATCTGGAGTTATGAAGAGACATCTTCAATACCAGGTAAATTAATAATACATCTATATATATATTATTACAGATTTTTATTTTGGCATTTAAAGTGACATTAAACTCAGGAGTGAAATCTTAAAAATGTATTCAAGTTCCTTAACTATTACCAAAAATGTATTTTATTTGTGTATCACTCGGCTGTAGATCCATAGATCATCTCTGAATTGGTGCTGACACTGTCCTTCCTTCTGGAGGGTGACTACTTTTGTTCCCCATGGTCCCTGTGTGTGTTGTAAAGTAATCACCACTCCAAGCTCACTCCCGTGATGGACTACAATCTCATGTTTAGTTTACTAATTTGTATTGAGATTGTAGTCCATCACAGGAGTCCTCTTAGAGTGGTGACTACTTTATAACACACACAGAGACCATGGGGAACAAAATAGCCACCCTCCAGAAGGAAGGACAGTGTCAGCACCAATTCAGAGATGATCTATGGATCTACAGCCGAGTGATACACAAATAAGCTGCATTTCTGTTCATAGTTGAGGTACTTGAATGCATTTTTAAGGCATAACTCCTGAGGTTAGTGTCACTTTAAATGCATATTCTTATTTATATTTAGTAATTTGAAATACATTCAATAGCTCATTTAAAAAAAAGCTATTTTAACAGTTAAGAACGTGTTATGTAAAACTGTTGAAATATAAATAATACTCTTTATTATCTAACCAAATACATTTTGTTGCCAATTCTTTCTCCTGACAAGCCAACTATATAGCACTGAGGTTGTGCTAGTGACATGCGATGAGACAATGAATAAAAAAGCACTGTATTAACCCAAAATTAGGTCAACTTTCAAAGTGATATTTATTTATTGGTGAAGTATGATTGGATGATTTAGCCCCTGGATTTTTCTGTCTTGGATACTCCACAGGGAAGAGCTCCTGCTATAATTCACACCTCTATCACTGGCCATCTTGGCGTTTTGGGACTGACTGTTTCACCTTGACGAGTTAACAATACTTAGAATGTATCTAAAATCCAAAAGCAAAAAATATATATATTGCAGATTACCAATCAGAGTTTCAATGGGGTGGCTGTATTAGTTTTCTTTTGTAGGCTTTTTCCCCTTTATTTTGACCTGGTGATCCGGTCACTAACTCTGCAAAGGTGGCAGAAGGAGGTTGAGACAAACCATTTAACAAAGACAGGGGTGCAGGCAATTGTCGGCTTTTATTCATGTATTTAAAACCTCTATCTCAAGAGGGAAAAAAAATATGTTACCGTAACAGCTTAATCCTCACCACACACATATTACAATCTGATTGTACAATTTTCTGTAGATCTACCAAAAACTATGTAGTGCAAGGGCAGATTGGATACAAATTGGTTAGACTAGGCAGATCCTCATATTACATAGTTTTTGCAAATCTAAAGCTGATTGTACAAAGATTGTATGGACAGATTGTGATGTGTGTGGTGACCCTTAAAAAGGGTTAATCTGGAGCTCAGCTTTAATTTGTTATTTAATTCCATCTATATATGCTAGTGCATCTACCACGATGCCCTCTCCACAGGTTGACAATGCTGCTGTGCGATGGTCGCTCTGTAACTCCTCCATAGAGTGGAGGCACCCTAAGACAGGAAGTGTGTGACTGACTGGATCATCAGGTGAAAATAAAGGAAAAAATGTCCCCAAATAGAAACCGAATGCAGCCACTACACTGAAGGATTTGTAAACTGCAATGTAATAATAATAATGTTTTTCAGGTTTAGATACACTTTAACACAGTACACTATTACTTCACACAGTCCATCCATACCTAATGCAGTACACTATTACTTCACACAGTCCATTCTTACCTAACACAGTACACTATTACTTCACACAGTCCATTCTTACCTAACACAGTACACTATTACTTCACACAGTCCATTCTTACCTAACACAGTACACTATTACTTCACACAGTCCATTCTTACCTAACACAGTACACTATTACTTCACACAGTCCATTCTTACCTAACACAGTACACTATTACTTCACACAGTCCATTCTTACCTAACACAGTACACTATTACTTCACACAGTCCATTCTTACCTAACACAGTACATTATTGTGGACTTGTGATAAAGGTGGCCATACACTATAGAATAAAGCTGATTTACTAAAGGAGCTGACAATCTTTACTTAATATATGATCAAATTATGTGACAGCCAGCCATATGCCCAGCAAAGGTTCCCGTTTCTCCTCAGTCATTGGCTGCTAAGACCGCAGCATTCCTAGCAACCAATGATGCCTCCTTTATACCCCCCTTTATACTCTTTCTATCTCTTACTTTACCCTCCCTGTTTCTCTTTCTCTCTTTCCGACACCCTCTCTCTCTCTCTTTCTCTCTCTTGCCGCCTCTCTCTCTCTCTTTCCCTTCTCTCTTTTTCTCTGTCTCCCTCTCTATCTTCCCCCCTCTTTTCTTCTCTGTCTCTCTCTTTCTTCACCCCCATCCCTCTCTGTCGTCTGTCTCTTCCCCCTGTCTTTCCTCTCTCTCTTCCTCCCTATCTATCTCTCTCCCTCTCTTTCTATCCCCCTCTCTTTCCCTTTCACCCCCCTCTCTCTCTGAAGGCAGCTAGCATTACTAGACTGAACTCAGCAAAGGCCGCACTCATATTTATCTGCATTTCTTGCAGTTTTTAGAACTGTTTAACTAAGAAACTCAAAAACAAAAATGGAATATGCTGCAGCTTGTAAAGTGAGGGCCTACCTAAACCATACATTCAGTTTATATCTGATCAGGCAAGCCCTTAGCTGTCTGTAAATCTAAAGTAGATGGTAGAGTCAGACTGTATTGTGCGTGGACAGATTATATGTAGCAAAACAACAACAATGGATACAATTAAAGAAAACACTTCCAAATGGAAGATAGCAATCTTTCAATTGCTTAAAAAATTCCCACAACTTTTTTGTTAAAAAAAAATCCAAATTATTATGATCCATACAATGATAATACAACAATGCAATGACTAGATTAAAAATGCAGTAAGCCAAAACAACCAATCAGCATACATTTTAAATGACATATGAATACATTAAGCTGAATTCTAATTTGTGTGGGTTACATCATCTTATTAAACCTAATGTTTTCAACACAGACCTTTGTTTGTAGTAATAGGACTAGGGCCTAAACCCCAGCTCCATTTCTTACATAATACTGAATAGATTACTTAATAAGAAAGCCACAGAAAAATACAGTTTCTGAGCTGGATCATGTCCAACCTTTGCTTGTGCTCTGAGTAACCACAAAATCGCTGTGGTTTGAAAATGTTTTCAATCTAAATTTCATGGTTAAAGCTAAACTCTGGTCACAAAAATGTTCATTTCCATATTTTCCTCAATAGCCACAGACAATATCAATCCATTTTGTGTGCACCAAATGCCTTTGCAAACCCGGTTATTGTCTTGGAAAAGTAGCAGTGACATCATCACTGTGGTGTACATAGAGCAGAGCTGTGGGAGGGGCCCTAGCAGACCACACTCACTACATGTTGCTTGCAGGAAACTACAGGAGGGGGTGGATACAAAGCCAGTCACTCTGCACCAGGAGAGACAGCAGCACTGACTGGTCTGTAGTACAGGAAGTTTCACATTGGATTATTACACAGATCTGGAAGAACTACACAAAGCACACAAAAATTATAATAATAATAATAATAATAATAATAATACATATGCTTCTCATATTTAGATAATATTTGCTTATTCCAGAGTTCAGCTGTAAAGATGAATTCCAGCCCAATATACAGGTGAAACTCGAATAATTAGAATATCGTGCAAAAGTAATTGCAGTAAGTGCTGCAAAAGGGGCCCAAACCAAGTACTGAGTACATATGCATGCTTGTACTTTTCAGAGGTCCGATATTGTTCTATGTACAATCCTTGTTTTATTGATTGCATGTAATAATCTACTTTTTTGAGGTTTTGGATTTGGGGTTCTTGGGGTTTTCATGAGCTGTAAGCCATAATCATCACAATTATGACAAATCACGGCTTGAATTATCTTGCTTTGCATGTAATGAGTCTATCTCATATATTAGTTTCACCTTTTAAGTTGCATTAGTGAAATAAATGAACTTTGCACGATATTCTAATTATTCGAGTTTCACCTGTATGTTTCTTTACTCTTGGGGTAGATTGGGGAGGGGTAGGAACCTCCTTCAGGTTTTTATTGCTGTCTGTGTTCTCTTTGAGAATAAGAGCAGACAACATTAAAACTTTTTTGATGAAATAAGGAAGAGTTAGGACCTTCCCAGTCCTTGAAACCTTGAACCTTCCTTGACAAACTTTATTGTCTTCTGTGACATCATCAAATACATTACCCCGATTAATTCATTGGATATTTTAGCACTGGAGGACCTAATCCTTCCCCACTGGTATGCGAACGAAGAAAGGTTTTGGCCTGGAGTTAGACTTTAAGCCCTTCCCAATCCTCTACTGTAAATTAAGGTCCACCCAGCAAGTTCTCAGTGACCGAAGTCTTGCACTTGTAGCTGCAGCAACCTCTGGAAATCACTCTAATCCCCATGCTGCAGACTGAATGGGGTGCTAGAAGATCTGATCAGAAACGGTTAACAATTAAATGAAGCGCATGATTAACTATTTCTCTGCCACCACAGTGGGGCAGTAAAAAGATGAAAACAAACCTCGCTATTGTTCTTGAGTGGATGCCACAATTACATGTGTAAACATTGCCTATATATTTCCAGGTCCTCCCTACTGTCTGGGCTTGGGACCTCTAATTTCCTATGGAAGATTCCTATGGAAAGGAATTGGAAGTGCATCAAATTATTACAATAGCATGTATGGGGACTTTGTAAGAGTCTGGATTAATGGCGAGGAAACACTAATAATCAGCAGGTAAGGGAATTATTTCCATTGTTTTACAAGAGTTCAGGTAAACTGTAGCCAAAAATTAAAATGAAGCCTTGAAAAAGATATGCAGGTAACGGCCATCCTATTCAGTGCTTTCAGTTTTTATTATAGGCGTTGTTGTAGTGCACCAATCCACCACTTTCTCTCCTGTCCATTATCTGGTGATATGAGAACCCTGCTTGTGATGAAAGAGATCGATTCCAAAACACATCCACAACAGACTCCTTGCTGTCTCACATACAGAAAGCCTGATATAAAAAGTGTCTGCATGCAGAAGTTGCTCTTAATCAATAATCAGATTAAAACCTGTCATTGGTGAATGGTAATATGGTGTCCTGGCCTGAGCGTGCTCCTGCTGCATTTAACTACACGGCAGAGGCTTTAGCAAGTACACTTCCAGTGACCCAATGAAGTGACCTCTCCATTCTGGCTACACTGGATTCTTGATGCTCAAAGTGGTTTCACTTCCTGTCATGGAGACAGAATAGGAATTGAGTGGAAACCATGCAATGGGGACACTAGTTCTGGTGACCCTGCTGACCGCTAGGGATTTCCCTCTCTTTGGAGGGATTTCCTCTCACTTCCTGTTGTGGATTTCAGCTGTGATGTGAAGGGAAATCTCCTCAATGGGCCAAAAAAACTTCAGTTATACTGTAATAAGATATACTGTATGTCAACATTATCAAATGACAATATATTATGTACAGTTTATATACAAGGAGGACCTTAGACAGGCTAACAATGGGCTCCTTTACTCCAAAACATGATATCACACACATATTTGCCAGTGAGGCTATTCATGATATCATCCAACCGATTATTAGCTCCAGATTAGTTGATAGAAATTAACTAGTAACACGGTCCTTTTTGCGAGCCCACTTTCATTTCCCATTCTCCAATGCCTGCTTCTAGTCTCTTCTGATTATTGTGTGACAGAGTGTTGTCACCGCATAACAGGTAGCGCCTGAACAATGACCATTATGGCAGGATTACCAGATATTTTTTGAATAAAAAGCCAGAGTTTTAAAAAGCTTGGAAAAGACTTTTGAAATTATATTACTATGTTAAAGATTAAATGGGAGTTCTACTTAAGGTGACTCTAAACTCAGCAGTTAAATCTTTAAAAAACATTCAGATACCTAGAAAGTACCCAGTATTAATAAAAATGTATATTATTTGAACCTCACTCGGCTGGAGATCCTCAAATCATCTCTGAATCTGTGTTGTCACTGTCCTTCCTTCTGGAGGGTGGCTACTTTTCTTCCTCATGGTCCCTGTGTGTGTTGTAAAGTAGTCACCACTCCAAGCTCACTCCTGCGATGGACTACAATCTCAATACTAATTAGTAAACTAAATATGAGATTGTAGTCCATCACGGGAGTGAGCTTGGATAGGTGGCTACTTTACAAGACACAAGGACCATGGGGAACAAAAGTAGCCACCCCACAGAAGGGAGGACAGTGTCAGCACCAATTCAGAGATGATTTGAGGATCTACAGCCCAGTGATACACAAATAAGATACATTTTTGTTAATAGTTAAGGTTCTTGAATGCATTTACAAGATTTAACTCCTGAGTTTAGTGTCATTTTAAGCTAAGCCTGCAAATGTGTTTGTTAAAAAATGTCACTCATCGCAACAGTGTAAGTTTCAAAAACAAAAATGCCAACCACAAACACAAGAGCAACTGAATAGACCTGACGGTTCAATAAATACAATGCCATAGCGCCCCCTGCAGACACATGAATACCTACTGTTGCATTTGACTATGTTTGCAAGTAGCCCATTTTATCTAATCATTGCCTATATTGATTGGTTGGCATTTGGACAGTGCCCCCCCCCCTTTATCTTTAAAGTCAGCTAAACAATTCCTTTGGAACTTTTCACATAGAATTGCAAAAAAGCAGATGGGAGGATCAAACGAGGGCAGCCCTGCGGTCTTCCCTATCTGGCATAAATTATGTTATTCTGGTCTACCAGCAGGTACATTTATAATACAGGCACACTATCTATTATCCAAAATGCCTGGGTCCTCTGTTCATAATAAGAAGCTCTTCCTTCTTATGGAGCATGACCAGGATATTTTAAATCTGTGACCCTGTCAGCATAGGATCACATTTACAAAAATGCCCACCTGCAAAAGAAACAATTTTTTTTACCTCCGGCGGACCGTGTAAAGAAAAACTGCTGCTTCTTTGAAGCCCGGCATCAGATGAGTCAAATCCTTGCTTCCAACACTGTTTGCTGTTCTTTCTGCAGGCCGTACATCTTGTAGTGAATAGTAAGTAAATAAATACTATGAACACCATTAAGTTAACACTACAACTATGCTAAAATCAGAAACCTCACTTGGTTTACCAAAGTCTGAGCTACTGCACACACTGCTCCATTACCATCAGTATAAAAGCAGCGGAAATGTACTTCTTGTGTCACAGCTTAAATATAATCTGACTGGTGGCTGAGAAAAATCTTAGTACTGACACTTTTTTACATCAGAGAAAGTGGATGTTCCAGCATTACAAGTAGGCATGCTCCAGGATCACCACATTACTGACAAACGTGACTGGGGAGGACTGGTATACTATACCACTGATGTATTTAGTAGGTAACTGTGCTCCCTTTATGAATCATGGTACTTCATTTTTGAATGGAACAGTAGCTGAATAACAAATAGAATTTGTATGTTCAGGATGCAGGATATTAACGATTTGTGTATGGCCATTAGGAATCATGGGGCCCCGTACAGCCTACCTGGCAGGGATCCACCCAGATTATTTGTAGGTGACAGGCTGTGCAGCCATTGCAGTGAGTTCTTGTTGGGGAAGGCTGTGTGGGCAGCCCCTGCTGTCCTTACATGGGCCCAGGATGGCTGGCTGTACCCCCTTATAGCCAGCACTATGAGGGGGGTATGACCATCCTTAGATTTACAGTAAACATCAACTTACCTGCTATAAATGTACATACTGTACAGCATGCCAGTCACAGAAAATAGATATAAAATATTATTAGCACTATCCATGATCTTAAAATGTATGTTCCCATGGAAGATCAGGTGCCCTACTGCAGGTTGATACATGGACAGTATTAAATCACTATAATGCCACCAATAACCATATTCATCTTACATTGTTGTCCATAGCTCTTCAGCAACATGTCATGTGATGAAGCACACTCATTATGTTTCAAGGTTTGGCAGTAAACTAGGATTGCAGTGTATCGGGATGAATGAAAATGGGATTATATTTAACAGCAATCCATCACTGTGGAAGGTGATCCGGCCCTTCTTCACCCGGGGTATGTTTCTGTCCTGTTTTTTTTACTTGATTGTATTTCTCTTTCTATTAAATGTATGTATACCAAAACTTGTTTGGGTATTTTGATTTCACTTCCTGTAGTGGAGACAGAACAGGAAGTGAGAGGAAATCTCTGCAAAGGAGACTGTTGTTCTTGTTGGAAGTCACCATTGGAAGTTTCCTCCCCTACTCTTGTTCTGGGGACAACTGTAACATTTTGGCTTTGCCGTGTTTTTTATGTTTATATGACAATTGCCAGCAGGACAAATAGAAAGGTAAACCTCCCCAGTGGGACAAAAAAAACTTGACAGGGGTTCTGGAGGATCAAAGCTATGAGACAAGGTTGCTACATTTAAACTTGTTCACGCTGGAAGTGAGAGGACATGATTTTGATGTACAAAATATTTAATGGAGCTGGCAACATCAGCATTAAACTTTTTACTGTATACTCCATAACAAGGACTAGAGGCCACCACCTAAAATTGGTGGAGAAAAGATTTAACCACAAAGGGCGAAGAGGATTCTTTTCAGTTAGAGCGGTTACATTTTGGAACTCTCTGCCACAAGCAGTGGTATCAGCAGAGAATATTGATTCATTCAAAAATCAATTAGATACCTTCCTGAGAGACCATAAAATACAGGGGTACATGTACTCTTAAATACTAGACCACACAGTGACTCCTATACAGACATGCACGCACAACTCAGACACAGACACACAAAGGTTGAGCTTGATGGACCTGAAGAATGGAACCCTTCCCTGCTACACAAAACTATACAAACACTCTGAATATTGTATATGGGGAGCCAGATTTTTCTCTTTTGGCTCATAGTTCACTTTGACATGGCTCTCTGTAGAAGAAGAATGTATAAATGAGTACATACTAAAGGTACCCATAAAAATTAGAAGATGTCTTTATTTTCCTGCTGTGTTCCTGCTATGGCTGTGATTACCCTTTGAAAAACTAAACACCTTCTAACTATCAGATCTCAGAAAAAGTTACAGAGGTTTGTGTAAAAAGTTAAAAATGTCAGTCAGGTTGTTTAACCACTTGAGGTCCAGGGTGTTACCCCCTTCCTGTCCAGGCCATTTTTCAGTATTCAGCGCCGAGCTACTTTGAATGACAATTATTCAGCCGTACCAAAATGAATTTTATATCATTTTTTTGGACACACAGAGCTTTCCCTATGTTAAGCTATGAAACATTGCACATAAATAATCTTTCTTCATAAATTTAGGCCAAAATTTATTCTGCTACATTTCTTTGGTAAAAAAAACAAGGCTGGCACTAATGGCAAACAGGACTCTGACAAACTGACAGGCTGGCACTAATGGTAATCAGAACTTTGGCAGGCTGGCACTGATGGCAATCAGGACTCTGACAGGCTGGCACCGATAGCAACCAGGACTCAGACAGACTGACAGGCTGGCACTAATGGCAAACAGGACTCTGACAAACTGACAGGCTGGCATTTAATGGAAATCAGGCTCTGACAGGCTGGCACTGATGGCTGGCACTGATGGCAATCAGGACTCTGACAGGCTGGCACCGATAGCAATCAGGACTCAGACAGACTGACAGGCTGGCACTGATGGCAATCAGGACTCTGACGGACTGACAGGACTCTGATGGACTGACAGGCTGGCACTAATGGCAATCAAGACTCAGATGGACTGACAGGTTGGCACTAATGGCAATCCGGACTCTGACGGACTGATAGTCTAGCGCTGCTGGCAATCAGGACTCTGACGGACTGATTGTCTGGCACTAATGGCAATCAGGGCTCTGACGGACTGATAGTCTGTCGCTGCTGGCAATCAGGACTCTAATGGACTGATAGTCTTACACTAATGGCAATAAGGGCTCTGACGGACTGATAGTCTGGCACTAATGGCAATCAGGACACTGACAGGCTGGCATTAATGGCAATCTGGACCCTGATATTACTAGCAGGCTGGCACTGTGGCCAAATTTGTGCTGGAACACATGCTAATTAACACAGTATTCTTTCAAATAGTTGTCACTGTCAAGAAAGTCTCCTCTCCTCTAAGAACCAAACAGTGTGTGAGAGGGGAGGAGAGGAAGCTGAAAACTGCAGGATATGTTTCCATTTGGTTGGTGACAGTGATCACACAGAACAGAGCTGATTTCACTGGCTCTGGAACAGGTTGTTTAAACTACACTGTCCAATGGACAATGTGTGTATAGTTGTGCTTGTGCTCCCTAGGGGGGGAGGGGGGGGGGCGCGCAAGCAAGAAGAACAGCGTGTTCAGGTAAATATACGTCTTTTTTTCTTCTTGCTTGCGCGCTGTCAGCCGTCCGTCCGTTCCATTACAACGGGTGGACTGCAACAAGTTAGTAAAGTAGCATTAAACTCTCAATCTTTTTTTCAATAATAAATCCAGATGAAACATATATACATTGCCCAACAAAGTATTTCTTTACATTTTTGCCCAAGCACTCACAGTCATCATGTTTTCAAACAGCTCCAACTCTCTCAGCTCAACTTCCCTGAAATTTCTTTCCAATATAAGATCACAAGGGAGAGTGGAGTCTCCAACAGCTGTCCATCCACTAGCTTGGAACAAGGAGGAGAGGGGAGCAGGGGAGAGGGAAGTGATTAGCCTTGCTGTGTCTGTGTGTTTGTGGAGACACACACAGCTTACTAGCAAACACAAGGGTGGCTCCATAGGACCCTGCAAGGGAAAGGAGACACCCTAAAACAGGATATCAGGGCCAGTGCTCAGGAGACCAACTGATTCTGCAGGAAACTAAAACGTTTAAACATCAAGAAGTAGCATTCATTGTAAGTGATTTCATCAGCATTTAAAAAAATCTTAAAAACCTTTTGCATTCATTGTCACTATAAGCACACGATCTCTACCACACAATAAAAGCATGCATGTCCATGTGTATTTAGAAGATATAAAAGATTGACAACTGGAGCATGGAGGCATGGTGGAGTATCATCTAAATTATGGAAAGCTTAAAGTATAATTAAAGTCTTACGTTTTATGGCATATATATACTCCTAGCAAGCAGAAGATATATGCCCCATGATTGAAAAAAAATAAAATTGAGGCAAATACCTAATTACTTACCTGTTCCAGCGCCGCTTGCTCCCGGCTAAAGCATTCCCGGCTCACGAATGGCTGTGAAGGACGAAGTGTGCGGGCGCATGCGCAGTAGACCGGAGGGGGAGAAAACACAAATGCAGTGAATGGACGCAGCCATGCAACCAGGAGCACTCACACCGGGCAGACACCGTGGGACACAATGAGTCTGTGGTGGATCAGAGACCGACACTAGCGCTGGAGGGACTGTCGGAAACAAGTGGAAGGAAGAAGATGATTGCAGCAAGAGGCATCAAATAAG